CTTAAGTGAGAATAACAGCACAATTGGAAGAGCGTAGTCAATGTCACTGAACTGTGCATGTAGAAATTTTTGAAATGGTGTATCTTCGGCTATGTATATTTTCACCAAAAAAAAAAAGGTTGAGAAGTTAGAGGGTTGATATGTTGTGGGGTTGTTAACCAATGTCATAAAACACCGTGTACTACTGTTTCATGAGAAACTATTTGTTCTGTAAGCCTTCACCTGAAGTACAATAAAAAAAAAATATCTGAATCACAGAATTCTAGGGCCAAAAGGAACTTCATGGAATATCTAGGATAGAAGCATCCTTAAGCCAGATGATAAGGAATACAAGTTTTCCTTAAAGATATTTAGAAAAGAAGCTTCCCCTGCCTTCTCTCCTTTCCATTGTTTTACCCAGCTCATGGCAACAAACTGTAAGAATAACATAATAACAATCTATATTAATTAATACATGATTATAATCCCTACCATGAGAGAGCTCACCCTCACCCTCACTCTCTCTCTCTCCTCGTCTGAAGAACATGAAAGTGGCGGGCAGGGGTGAAGTTATTTCACATTTTGGGACAAAAAACTAAGGAGTCAAGAAATAGTTGTGCAGAATGACAGGGCTTCAGGCCTTACCATGAAGATCTCATCATACATCAGCACCACTTTTTCCTTCAGTGGTTTTTTGGAGGCTGAAGATTTTCGGAGTAAGCCCCCCCGTTTCTCTGTCTGTGCCATGGTTACTGAATCTGTGAAAAGAAAGCCACAGTCAGTGCCAGAATGCCTTCCAAGATGCTGGATGGACAGTCTATTGAAATGTCTCTCAATGGGAAATATTTTAGGAAGAAGAAATGATAAACAATGATGCTATGGATCTTGTGCATCTGTCCAACCCTTACCCTCCACCAAGTAATGTCTGGGTTTAAATCATTACTTGGCCTACAGCACAACACATTTTACATCCTTAAAACATGCCAATGGACAAGGCTTAAAGCAGATCCAAAACCAAGCAGGAAAATGTAACTAGCTCCATCTATAATAGGTCTGGCCATATATCTGAGGTTGATGGAAGGAAGGCTGCAAAGCATACACTGCCGGCAGAGTGATGGTAAAGTTAAATTTCAAGTATTGATCGAGCTTAGGATCATTAAGGCAGGAAGTGTGCTGCAGACTGATGTGCTCCATTGATTTCCCCAAAGTAAGTGGGTCCACATCACTGCAAAGTACTTGGCCTTCACTGCCTCATAAATCACTCTTCACTTGACTGTCTTCAGAAATTCCTCTGGAAAGAGACCAAGGCAGAAAATAGCAGTTAAAAGGCCAAAAATTAAATCTGATTTCAAAATAACTGAATATAATAACATACTCCTTTCAAATGTAATTGTATATATGTGTAACCCTACTGCAGATCAAACTTCAATGTATTTTTCAATTCTGTATAAAAGCAGTTCCATGAATCATGCCCAAATTTTCCCATCCTGCTTCAAAAAATTCTCAAAAAATTTTTCAAGTGAAAACTCAAAATCCCACAGGTCTCCACTGTGGGTTTACCAGATTCCCTCACCTCTCAGATTCTTTATATTATTGACAAAGTCCCTCTCTCTTTCTTAAATCCTAGGCTTTAGCTATGAAACTTAATCTCATCCAATGACACCTATGGTGGGGCGGGGGAAGGTGGCTGGTTTTACTTACAGATAAATCCAAAACGGCAAAACTAATTTTGTTCAGTGACTTTTGGAAAATATACACTATCTTTCATATCAAAATCAAAATTTTACTGAAGGCAGAGATGTATCCAATAGCACAAAAATTATACCTCGGACACTGTCTTTCTCTAATACACTATTCAAAAAAGAGATTCACCTTTGAACATATATCAAAGCACAACTAGATATTAAGCATATCTAGGAAGGGATTGGAGCCCTGGTGGCACGGTGGTTAAGAGTTCGGCTGCTAACCAAAAGGTCAGCAGTTCAAATTCACCAGCTGCTCCTTGGAAACCCTGAAAGGCAGTTACACTCTCTCCTATAGGGTCACTATTAGTTGGAATCAACTCAATGGCAACAGGTTTCATTTTTTTAAGGAACGGATTATATCTTATACTATTTCTATAAGTACTGGCTCATGGAAAATGCTCAGTGTATGCTGTTCACTGACTGACTCTGAAATAAAAAAAAAAAAAAAATACTGAAAAGTCCTAGGTTTGACCTAAAATTGTAATACGACCTATTTCTAGCACAGCTTCACTAAGGCCTCAAATTCAATTATGGTCCAGAGAAAACTGAGGGAAAAAATAACAAAAAAAGAGAGAACTCTTTTGGGCAATTTACACTACATTGACTACGGCTTTGCCTTAAAGCATGAAATACAGCCTCCATTCAAACCAGTCCTGTGTCTTTTAAATAGGTAGTAAAGACGCAGATGTGCATATCGGGAAAAAATAAATTGGAAATCAAGAGGATCCCATTAAATAAATCAAAAGCAATGCAATTCTAAGCTTAGTGGATATAGATCTTGCCTGTGCTCAGCTTCAACCAGTTGATTAGCAGGAATAGCGGGAATCACGAGTTTCTGGATGTGAAAAGTACATGTTTACAAACATGTACTTCTGAGGATTTATAACTGGGTTACAGCTAATCAATGCCCACCCGAAAACTAATACGCTTACTTTCCCTATTTCAGAATCAATACTTTCTAATAAGCAAAAGGGAACAGGAGAGGGATGAAAAACAATTCCAATCCAAAGTACCAAATTTCCAAAGGAATTAAATTCTTTTCACCACTCTCCTTCAATACAGAGCAAGAGGAAATTCAGCCAAGGGCCTCAACTCATTACTCTCTGTCATCCTCACAGGCAACTGCAATTGGCCACCCAAACTGCTGATGTGTGACTGGAAACTGACAACATAAAGTCTCCTCTTCCTACCAGCACTTCTACCGGGGGTCCACAGCAAGCAAGGGTTTTTCCAGGGTGGTGGAGGGGAACGAGTGTAGAACTCTTACAAAAGATTTTCTTTGGGTCCCAGAAATTAAGCATGTGCTCCTCAATGTAAAAATATAATACTTGACTGGCAGTAGAGCAGTTAATTCCAGCATACAATAATGTGAGTGTAATCTGTTTATTTTCTCCCAGAGTATTTCTCCTCTTTAACACCGCTTCCTCATTGCAGAGAGAACCAGCACCAGCCAGAGCAGCAAGGCTAATGGAAAGATAGGTCAGCTGAACTGAGACTGGCACACAGGTCTCCCAACCAACTAGACGACACTGACTAAGTCATTGTGCTTTTCACTTTCCGAATAAGCAACACAAGGCAGCTGGACTAGACATATCATCATCACCTCAACATCACTGAAATACCACAAATACATGAGGAGATTCCAAATACTGTCAAGCACTAGTTTAGGCACTAGGAGGTTACACACAGAAAAATCCAGACCTGATCCTCCAGGAACTCACAATCTATTGGCAAAGACAGACACATAATAACCCGTAACACAGGGCAAATCATGAGAAATTAATAACAGTACAAAGAAAATGTTATGAAAACACACGGAGGAAAAGAATAATTCTGTGACTAGGCTATGACCTCTGTTGATCCAGGCTTTTAAATCCTTCTGGCAAAGAAACAATTACAGCAAAGGCGCAGTAATCCCACAGAAATGTCAGTTTAGGCTTTAACATAGTTTCTCGGAAATAAAACACAGGCAGAGTATAAAAAAGAACCAGGCTTTTCAATACTAATTTCACCTACTGCCAAACTTAGGAATGGCTTCAAACACCCTCCCCCCTTCTCTCGATGGATAGTAAATCAATGAAACCTTTTATTCCTAAACCTCAGGGACTGCTGGCCCCATGACCTGCACCACAACTTCCCTCTGGAAGACCCAAGTCATACAGTATTTGAAGACGTACATCTTAAAAGCAATCCAGCCACCCACCCACACACTTCTTAAATGCCCATCACTTCACATCCCTGCAGGATGAAGTAACCAAATGTCAAGATTTTAAAACCTAACTTTTCCAACATCCAATATGCAAGAAATGCTGGTTACACTTAGCTAACTGGGTATTCATTTATTTTATTGTTCTCTGGAGCACACTTCATGCCAACTCCAGTGTCAGCAAAATTAATTTAATAGAAATTCACTTTAATTTCTAGAAAGTTAACACAGTTTATCAAAAGTCTTGGGTTTTAGTTCCAGTACTTATACATTCTATAACCTTAAGTTTCTTTTCCTCCCTGGGCCTCAATTTCCCAATCTGTAAAAAGATGACATGGGACAGTGCTCTTCGAGCTTCCAAATTTAATGGTCTGGCGTTCTAGGTTCACACTTGTAATAGACTGTTAGCAAGTATTACCTTCTCTTCACTGTTGAGACAGACTCCAAAATGCTGCTGTAGCTAGATGCTGAGGTAAGCATCCTAAAACACTTCAACCAATATGTAAGAAAAGGAAAAGGAGAAGGGAGAGAAAACAAAAAAGAAGGAAAACAAATCAAAGCAAATTTGCCCATAATCTAGAAAGAAAAAACGTATGCACAGATAAGGCACCCATTCATTCATTCAACAAGCATTTATTGAGCACCTTTTATGTGTCAGGCACTGAGGATGCAGCAGTGAACGTGACAAATAAGATCCCTGCTCTCATCGAGTTTTCATTCTAGTGGAGGGGAGACAGACCACAAACAAGGTAAAATGAGACACTGCTAAGTGCCTTGAAGACAAATTGCCTAGGGGGGCTACTTTTTTTATTTAAATTGTGCTTTAGGTGAAAGTTTACAGTTCAAGTTAATTTCTCATACAAAAATTTATACACATATTGTTATGTGACATTAGTTGCAATCCCTATAATGTGACAGCACACTCCCTGTTTCCACTCCACGTTTCTTGTGTCCATTCAACCAGTTCCTGTCCCTTCCTGCTTTCTCATCCTGCCTCCAGACAGGAGTCGCCCATAGGTCTCATGCAGCTACTTGAACTTAGAAGCACACTCTTCATCAGTATTTTATGTTTTATAGTCCAGTAGTCTTTGTCTGAAGAGTAGGTTTCGGGAATGATTTTAGTTCTGGGTTAACAGACCATCTGGGGGCCATGGCTTCTGGGGTTCCTCCAGTCTCATCAGACCATTAAGCCTGGTCTTTTTACGTGAATTTGAGTTCTGCTCCACACTTTTCTCCTGTTCTGTCAGGACAGTCATTGGTAGTAGTCGGGCACCATCTAGTTCTTCCAGTCTTAGGCTGATGAAGTCTCTGGTTTATGCGGCCCTTTTGTCCCTTGGGCTAATATTTTCCTTGTGTCTTTGGCGTTCCTCATTCTCCTTTGCTCCAGGTAGACTGGGACCAACTGATGCATCTTAAAATGGCCGCTCACAAACTTTTAAGACCCCAGATGCCACTCACCAAAGTGGGATGAAGAACCTTTTCTTAATAAACTTTGTTACGCCAATTGACCTAGATGTCCCCTGAAACCATGGTCCCCAGACCCCAGCCTTAGCTACTCTGCCCCTCAAAGTGTTTAGTTGTGTTCAGGAAACGTCTTAGCTTTTGCTTTAGTTCACTTGTGCTCACTTCCATAGGGGGACTACTTTAGATTGAGAAGTTAAAGTAGGCCTCTCTGAAGAAGTGGTACTTGGGCTGAGATCAGGCTAACAGAAGGAACCAGCCATGTGAAAAACTTGGGGAAAGTGTTCCAGACAGAGGGAATGGCAAGTGCAAAGGCCCCAAGATTTGAACAAACTTGATATGTTCG